ATAGAGTTAATGCAATCACAGTTTGAGTTTCCAGTCAATTGCACACAATGTCACAGTGCTTGTCACTTGTCTGCACTCTGCCATGACGCAGGACTCCGCAGCTCATGCCCCTCCCTCTCTGTCCTATTTCATTAGCCTCTTGCCAGTCTGCATTCCTGAAAGGCCGAAGCCTCCTCTCAGGCCAGCGTCCAGCCCCTCTCACGTATGCTTTTATCGGGCAGGCCTGGACCTGCCAACCCTATTGTGTCCCTTTCAGGTCAGACACAGCTGAAGGAGCAAAATAAGCCAGCAAATAACAGTGGAGCTGCAATGCTAGGAAGGTTGTTTATATCTGTTTACGTCCTCCGTCTCCTGGCGAGAGCATAATTAATAGCTTGCATTGTCATCTTACGATGGATGCGGTTCATAATGCCCCTTTAAAGTTAAGTCTTGATTGTATCTGGCATTCTCAGGCTTTATCGCTTAATGCCGTGTGATATTCTGGCTGAAGGTTTTAAAGGACCAGCCTTTCTCTTTCAGCCTCTTATACAGTCAATTATCCAAAGATTATCAGGGTAACAATATTTGTATATGGTATACCATGTGGCTGACCATGCTGGGTCAAGAAACAGGTTGACTTAATTGCCAGCCCAGCTTTTACTCACCTACCAGTCACCCCTATGCCGGTTTGTGTAAGCTCCGAGGTGCACTGGTTGGAGTTTATACAAGGCTGAGAACCATCTTCTCTTTTTGCTCACCAGTCACCCCTATGCTGGTTTGTGTAAGCTCCGAGGTTCACTGGCTGAAGATTATACAAGGCTGAGAATCATCTTCTCTTTTACTCACTAGTCACCCCTATTTTGCTTTGTGTAAGCTCCGAGGTGCACTGGCTGGAGGTTATACAAGGCTGAGAACCGTCTTCTCTTTTACTCACCAGTCACCCCTATGCTGGTTTGTGTAAGCTCGAGGTGCACTGGTTGGAGTTTATACAAGGCTGAGAACCCTCTTCTCTTTTATACAAGGCTGAGAACCATCTTCTCTTTTACTCACCTACCAGTCACCCCTATGCTGGTTTGTGTAAGCTCCAAGGTGCACTGGTTGGAGTTTATACAAGGCTGAGAACCATCTTCTCTTTTATACAAGGCTGAAAACCATCTTCTCTTTTAAACAAGGCTGAAAACCATCTTCTCTTTTATACAAGGCTGAGAACCATCTTCTCTTTTACACAAGGCTGAGAACCATCTTCTCTTTTACTCACCTACCAGTCACCCCTATGCTGGTTTGTGTAAGCTCTGAGCTGCACTGGTTGCAGTTTATACAAGGCTGAGAACCATCTTCTCTTTTACTCACCTACCAGTCACCCCTATGCTGGTTTGTGTAAGCTCCAAGGTGCACTGGTTGGAGTTTATACAAGGCTGAGAACAACTTCTCTCTTTTATACAAGGCTGAGAACCATCTTCTCTTTTACTCACCTACCATTCACCCCTATGTTGGTTTGTGTACACTCCGGGGTGCACAGGTTGGAGTTTATACAAGGCTGAGAACCATCTTCTCTTTTATACAAGGCTGAGAACCATCTTCTCTTTTATACAAAGGCCGAGAACCATCTTCTCTTTTACTCACCTATCAGTCACTCCTATGCTGGTTTGTATAAGCGCCGAGGTGCAGTGGTTGGAGTTTATACAAGGCCGAGAACCATCTTCTCTTTTATACAAGGCTGAGAACCATCTTCTCTTTTATACAAGGCCGAGAACCATCTTCTCTTTTATACAAGGCTGAGAACCATCTTCTCTTTTAGGCTGAGAACCATCTCTCTTTTACTCACCTACCAGTCACCCCTATGCTGGTTTGTGTAAGCTCTGAGGTGCACTGGTTGGAGTTTATACAAGGCAGAGAACCATCTTCTCTTTTATACAAGGCTGAGAACCATCTTCTCTTTTACTCACCTACCAGTCACCCCTGTGTTGGTTTGTGTAAGCTCGAGGTGCACTGGTTGGAGTTTATACAAGGCTGAGAACCATCTTCTCTTTTATACAAGGCTGAGAACCATCTTCTCTTTTACTCACCTACCATTCACCCCTATGTTGGTTTGTGTACACTCCGGGGTGCACAGGTTGGAGTTTATACAAGGCTGAGAACCATCTTCTCTTTTATACAAGGCTGAGAACCATCTTCTCTTTTATACAAGGCCGAGAACCATCTTCTCTTTTACTCACCTATCAGTCACTCCTATGCTGGTTTGTATAAGCGCCGAGGTGCAGTGGTTGGAGTTTATACAAGGCCGAGAACCATCTTCTCTTTTATACAAGGCTGAGAACCATCTTCTCTTTTATACAAGGCCGAGAACCATCTTCTCTTTTATACAAGGCTGAGAACCATCTTCTCTTTTACTCACCTACCAGTCACCCCTATGCTGTTTTTGTGTAAAGCTCTGAGGTGCACTGGTTGGAGTTTATACAAGGCCGAGAACCATCTTCTCTTTTATACAAGGCTGAGAACCATCTTCTCTTTTATACAAGGCCGAGAACCATCTTCTCTTTTATACAAGGCTGAGAACCATCTTCTCTTTTACTCACCTACCAGTCACCCCTGTGTTGGTTTGTGTAAGCTCGAGGTGCACTGGTTGGAGTTTATACAAGGCTGAGAACCATCTTCTCTTTTACTCACCTACCAGTCACCCCTATGCTGGTTTGTGTAACCTCCGAGGTGCACTGGTTGGAGTTTATACAAGGCTGAGAACCATCTTCTCTTTTATACAAGACTGAGAACCATCTTCTCTTTTATACAAGGCCGAGAACCATCTTCTCTTTTACTCACCTACTAGTCACTCCTATGCTGGTTTGTATAAGCTCCGAGGTGCAGTGGTTGGAGTTTATACAAGGCCGAGAACCATCTTCTCTTTTATACAAGGCTGAGAACCATCTTCTCTTTTATACAAGGCTGAGAACCATCTTCTTTTTTACTCACCTACCAGTCACCCCTATGCTGGTTTGTGTAAGCTCTGAGGTGCACTGGTTGGAGTTTATACAAGGCTGAGAACCATCTTCTCTTTTACTCACCTACCAGTCACCCCTATGCTAGTTTGTGTAAGCTCCGAGGTGCACTGGTTGGAGTTTATACAAGGCTGAGAACCATCTTCTTACCTCCATATGAGGCTTTCCATACCTGGAAGTATTGGGTATGTGACATCACAATTAGATGACCCTGTGGCTTTTGTGTAGCCCAAGTTCTGTTTGACAGAAAATAAAGAGCAGTTTGTAGGTTCTCATGATATATCCAAAATTATTTTCCTAATAAATAAGTGTTAAGCATGACAAAGAAGCCAAATGTGTTTGAAAATATTGCATTCTCAGTCCACTGAATTAGCCAATAAAGTCTATCAAACTTTCTGCTAATGTGAAATGTAAAATCTCTTTTACTGCATATTGCCATGTTTATTGCCATCCTTTGATTCTAGAGAATGTGCTCTGCCATCTGACAATGCCCTACTATAAACCTGTAAAAGTGATACTTATGCTGAAAGAATAACACCACTTTTGTTGAGAAAAAAAACATTCCCCTCTGGGTGATCTATTTATGTTGCAAGGATTTTACCAAAATTTGTTACAGATTCCTACCTTTTGTTGTTCTGAAGAAATGTCTGTTTGTCTGTGTCCATGTGAAAAATGAATGTACATGGGAGTGATTTCATAATTATCAATCAGCTGCTGCACATGCAGGGCTCTAATGAGGATAGTGGCAGGGTCTGAATCCCTTTAGATGTGATTTCCCTTTGGAAGTATCTCACCAAAAATGAATTTTTTTCTCAGGTGATGCTTACATTCTGACTTGTATCTTAGAACAGACCAGGGGCGGACTGACCATTTGGAAACTCGGGCACTGCCCCAGGGCCCAGGGTCAGTAGGGGGCCCCATGAGATGCCCCTGGTACCTTTTTCATAGGCTTTTTTGAGTTTGGGCAAGGACACAGGGGCCCCATGATCCCCTATTGCCCGGGGGCCCCATGAGTTGTCAGTCCACCCCTGGAACAGACTTTTCAGAAAATCAGTGAGCCAATCAGAAAATTACATTTTGGGGTTGGGGCATTATGTACACCATCTGTGTACAGAAAGCCTCCAGGCAGCAATATTGCATTGTATGTTACAAAAACTACAACACTGCAGATTGAAAAGGAAAGGTAATGTTAATAACATTCAATTACTGTGGGCTCCATACATAAAGCAGTATTTTCCTCTTACGGTAAAATACCTCATAGTGTTTTTCAAAAAGTTTTTTTGGCATTCACAAAAAAAGGCTTCTAAAATACTGCATGCTGTACTTTTTCTAAAATGTGCAGTATTTATCTCATGAAACCATGCAGTATTTTATCTCATGCAATATCCAGTGGGATGGATACAGTGGAGAAGGAATAGAACCCCTGTCAGTTTTTTATTGCCAATAAAGAGGTAAAATGGTTTAAACCGTAGAAATCTGCCAACTCACTAAGTCTAGGTTCACACCTATGCAGGTTACGTTTTAGGCGTTTCTGCACTGCGGTCCCTGCAGAAGATGAATTAATACAAAAGGAAAAATGTGACTAGAATGCCAAAGGGAAGCTGCGTTCGCAGGACACACGTGGTGTATCAAAAACAACTACGTTAAATGAACTAAATACAAAATATCTTTCTAGATGTCAAATATTGAATGAAAATAGTATCAAAAATCAGAATACAATGTTGTCTTTTTTATTGGTGAATAAGGGTATTTATATATGTGTGGGATTTTATACTATTTTCATTCAATATTTGACATTGATATTTTGTATTTACTTGCCTACCGGGCGCTTTCACCCCCTTGCTGCCCAGGCCAATTTTCAGCTTTCAGCGCTGTCGCACTTTGAATGACAATTGTGTGGTCATGCAACACTTTACCCATATGAAATTTGTATCATTTTTTTGAGACAGATATAGCTTTCTTTTGGTGGTATTTAATCACCACTGCGGTTTTTATTTTTTGATAAACAAACCAAAAACAACTGCAAATTTTTTTCTTAGTTTCTGTTATAAAATTTTGTAAATGAGTACTTTTTCTCCTTCACTGATGTGCGCTAATGAGGCTGCAGTAATGGGCACTGATAGGCTGTACTGATGGGCACTGATAGGTGGCACTGATGGGCACTGATGAAGAGGCACTTGTTGGTAGAACTGATGTGCATTGACAGGCATCACTGGTTGGCAGTCACAGACATCACTGATGGGCACTGAAAGGCAGTACTCATATATAGCACTGATAGGCGGTACTGAAAGTCAGCACTGACTGGCACTGTTAGGTGGCACTGACTGGCACTGTTAGGTGGCACTGATGGCCACTGATAGGCTGCACTTACTGGCACTGATAGGCAGCGCTGACTGGCACTGATAGGCAGCGCTGATTGGCAGCACTCATAGGTGGCAATGACTGGCACTGATAGGTGGCACTGACTGGCACTGATAGTTGGCACTGAAAGGCATCTCAGATGGGCACTGATATGTGGCATTGATGTGCACTGGTGGGCACTGACAGGTGGCATTGATCGGTACAGACAGGTGGCATTGATGGGCAATGACAGGTGGCATTGATGGACACTGACAGGTGGCAGTGATGGTCAATGTAGATGTCCCCTCTGAGGAATGCCGATTACCGTCTCTCCTCTCCTCACAAGCTGTCAGTGTGACAGCTCGTGAAGAGAGAAATACCCGGCATTTCTTTATGTACATGTGATAAGCTGTGATTGGACACAGCGGATCACATGACCGAGCCAAAGTCATCGGCTCTTTCTACTGATCAGTGATCCGCTGTGTCCCAGGGACACAGTGCACCACAGATCCCCGTGCTGCACGCCCCTGGGGACGTACATGCGTGGTTAGAGTGGGAGGACATCATATGACGTCCTCCCAGAACAAGAGAATCGCTTTGCGCCCGTCATTTCCTTATATAGTGGGCGGGAGTTAAAGTATAATTGAAGATGATGATGTCTGTAGGAACTTTTCAGTGGGAAGATATCTCTAAAAATAATTGTGAAAAAGGAAAGTATCCCCACTACACACGGTATACACTATATTGCTAAAAGTATTGGGCCAGCCCTCCAAATCATTGGATTCAGGTGTTTCAATCACCTCCATGGCCACAGGTGTATACAATCAAGCACCTAGGCATGCACACTGCTTCTACAAACATTTGTGGAAGAATGGGTCACTCTCAGGAGCTCATTGAATTTAAGGGTGGTACCGTGGTAGGGTGCCACCTGTGCAATAAGTCCATCTATGAAATTTTAAAGTGGAAGCAACTGGGAACAACAGCAACTCAGGCCACGTAAAATGACAGAGCGGGGTCAGCGCATGCTGAAGCGCACAGTGTGCAGAAATCGCCAACTGTCTGCAGAGTCAATAGCTAAAGACCTCTAAATTTCATGTAGCCTTCAGATTAGCACAACAATAGTGTGTAGAGAGCTTCAAGCAATGGGCTTCCATGGCCGAGCAGCTGCATCCAAGCCTTACATCACCAAGTGCAATGCAAAGCGTCGGATGCTGTGGTGTAAAGCACGCTGCCACTGGACTTTAAAGCAGTGAAGACGTGTTCTCTGGAGTGACGAATTCACACTTCTTTGTCTGGCAATCCGATGGACGTGTCTGGGTTTGGTGGTTGCCAGGAGAACGGTACTTGCCTGACTGCATTGTGCCAAGTGTAACGTTTGGTGGAGGGGGGATTATGTTGTGGGGTTGTTTTTCAGGGGTTGGACTTGGCCCCTTAGTTCTAGTGAAGGGACTCTTAAGGTGTCAGCATACCAAGATATTTTAGACAATTTCATGCTCCCAACTTTGTGGGAAGAGTTTGGAGATGGCCCCTTCCTGTTCCAACATGACTACGCACCAGTGCACAAAGCAAGGTCCATAAAGACATGGATGAGTTAGTTTGGGGTGGAGAAACTTGACTGGCCTGCACAGAGTCCTGACCTCAACCCGATATAACAACTTTGGGATGAATTTGAGTGGAGACTGTGAGCCAGGCCTTCTTGTCTGATAATTCTTCCAGAAGAGCATTTGTGAGGTCAGGCACTGATGTCAAACCTTCCCATAGACACACTCCTAAACCTTGTGGACAGCCTTCCCAGAAGAGTTGGAGCTGTTATAGCTGCAAAGGGTGGGCCAACTCAATATTGAACCCTACGGACTAAGACCGGGATGCCATTAAAGTTCATGTGCGTGTAAAGGCAGGCGGCTCAATACTTTTGGCAATATGGTGTATATGTTCTAACAAGGGATTAGACCATTGTGATATGCATGTACATTGTATTATGTTTGTAGTGACTGGGAGTTTTTTTGCAACAAAATGATGTATATGCTTGTATATACACAAAAAAGTCTAGAAAAATCAGCTGAAATGACAGGAGAAAATAAATATATTTTACTACATAATGGGCTGGATTTATTAAATGTAATGGGGTTGATTTATTAAAGGCACATAGACTGAGCACATTGCAAGTGAAGTTGTTCCAGAGCTTAGTAAATGAGGGGGAGCTCTGCTGACTTCCATCATCTACTCATGTGCAAGCAAAATTGCAAATTGCACAGTCTATTTGTCTTAAAGCAGAACTATAGATAAAACCTGTTTTTTTTTTTTTTCATAGAGTAAGGGAGGGTTATAACCTCTGTCATGTTTTTTTTTTGCCATCTTTGTTTGCATTGGAAGATGTCCCCTCTATTACTTTTCTGGGGACAACCCAAAATTTGGGATTTTCTCTAACTTTCACTTAACCCCTTGCACCGACGGCACACAAATATGTGGCCTCACGGAACTGGGCTTTTTTCCATGGGGCCGCATATTTGCGTACTTGTCTTTGTGCTGGGAGCGCGCCGCTCGGCGCGCTCCCAGCACAGAGACCGCAGTGTCACTGAGAGCCCCGGGTCCCGTTCTAACAATCGGGACCCGGGACTCCCGATTCTGGGTCACGTGATAGCTGTGATAGCCTCTGATTGGCTATCACAGTGATCAGTCACTGTGCAGCCCAGCCCCCTTGTTTTTTCTCTCTCTATGAATGGAGAAGAGAGATACATTGTATCTCTCTAACTCCTGACATAGAGAGAGATAAAAAAAAACAAAAAAACAAGAGAAATAAATAAATATTAAAAAAGAAAAGAACAAATAAAGAAAAATACCTAGATCAAGGTTTGATCTAGTTCAATACCAGGGTTAGTGTTTGGGTCATGGCCATGGTCAAAGGTCAAGGTCAAAGGTCAGGGTCAAGGGTCAGGATTTAAAAACAAATTGGTATCGGTGTCAGTTAGCGTTAATGTCAGTGTCAGTGCACTATTGTTTCTGGGCTGCACTACGGATACAAACAACAAATAACATACACATATTTGGTATCGCTGCGATCGTCAAGAGCTGGAGAATTTATTTTGGGTTTTTCTATGGAGGTAGGTTATGGTCGTAACAAGAAACACACAGCTAAAAAAAAAAAAAAACATTTTCTTTTTACTATTTTGGCCAGTTTTCCTTTGAGAATAAAAAAAAAATTAGGAGCTATCCATTACCATTTACCACCAAATGAAAGCCCAATTTGTCCTGAAAAAAACAAGGTATAATCCACCTGGATGTATAAAGCAGTTGTGATGATATGTATGGTTTTACTATCACATGTCAACGTTGCAGAATTGTGCTTAGGCATTTAGATTTGTTTTACTCTTAGGCATGAAGGAGCAAAAACAATAACAGTTAACAGAACAAATAGAGAGGGTGAATCTAATGGGGGCACAGACAACAATAAAAGTCTGACAAGTGTTCTAATCCATCTCCGCTCTATCCAAAACTAAAAAAAAGTTTTTGCTTTAGTAAATCAACCCCAATGGTTTCCATATTTAGGTTTCTATGCATTCCCAATAATGGGAAAACCAGTGACAGATAAACTCAAGAGTGTGCATAGGGTTAGACTGCCAAAAGGAATATCGGCAGAAAGCTCCAGAGATGTGATTATTAAGTTCCATAACTTTGAAGATAGGGAATGAAATATGGAAAGGGTTGAGGGATTGCACTGAAATAGAATATGAAGAAACAACCCTACATATTTTTGCCGACATTTACCCAGAGACGTTGGCAAGGAAGAGATCCTTCAAAAAGGCAGAAACTACTCAAAAATGTCTATTATATTTTAGTATTTCTTAAATACTGTGTGCCTAGATCACTACTTAATTACTACATACATTTTATTATTTATTTCCTTCTGTGAAATGACTGTAATGACTTTTCATGTGTTATTTACCAAGTGTTTTGAGCGTTGTGTGGTAAATACTGCAATACGATATAGTGAATTGACAGTGTCAGGATTGCATGCCATATTTAGGCAAAATGTGTCCAGACACCTAAATATCGCATGTAATCTGCTTCTGTGAATGGAGCCCAATATGATTTGTGCAACAATTGTAAACAGTATATTATTTTTATTACTATTTGCTATTCCCCCCCCCCCCCACAAAACTGGGGTTACCCTTTACGAGACAACACCACATGATACATGCTACTACCCTTTATGTGGCTTAGTTCACTTTGTTACTGGGGCCTCGTATTCTATGCTATACCCCCTTCCAACAAGAGTTGATTTGGAGTACAAGAACTACACTGATTGGTCTGAATATGGCATGTACATTTGACATACGCCATAGACAAGGTGGGGTGTTGTAGTGGTTTATGGGACAAGTCAAAAGAAGGGATATTCTACCTGTACCCAATAGTATTGAACTTGATTAAGACTGGCCATACACTGAGCAAATTTCAGCTGGTTTCTAATTAACTGTACAAAATATGATCAGCGTGTGGCCCCATCTTCATCACTTCACTCAACATCCTTTGATTGAATAATTGAAGGTGCTGGGTGGAAACTTGTCAACCAAACAACCTGAATCCAATCAGATGTAGGCACCGTTTGGGTATTCTGACATCCAGTGGCGGGGGCTATCATTTTATACTTACCTGGTTTTGCACAGAGCAGCCCCACTTCTCCATTTCTCGTCTCTCCTGGCGCTCCTGGCTCCTCACCCTTTGAAGTGTCCTCCCAGCAAACAGCTTGCTATAGGGGTACTTGTGCAGGATCGATCCCGAGACTGGCTCTGTGTGTCCATCGACAGTGCAGTTTGGCCCCACCCCTGCTCTCTCCTCACAGGTTGTGATTGACAGCAGCAGGAACCAATGGCTCCTGCTGCTGCCTCCAAGTCCAGTGAGGAGAGAGAGACGAGAGCCACTTCTCTTGGTCACAGCACTGGATCAGGATCAGGCTCAGGTAAATGTTTAGGGGGGCTGAGGGGAAGGAGAGCTGAACATCCACAGAACATTTTCTTACCTAATTGCAGAGAATGCATTTGATGCAGGCTGTGGAGCTGTGTCAATTATCTTAATATTATTATGTATATAACGACATAGACATGGATATAAATGCCAAGTATTTCCTCCTACAATAAAATGTTAAAGAGCTTATTCAAACCAGTGCATGTTGCGGTGCATATAACACGTGGCCTCTAGTGTGGATTGTACATGTGTTGTACAACACATCACAGAACATGTCTTTGTTTTTTAATATTCTCTATTAAACTTCACAGT